AAACCTTTTCACCCAAAATAATCTTTTACACACACACACGCAGCAGTGAGGCAGCACATTTACAACAGCCTCCCGCTGCCAGCTAGACTGTGGGTTTCCATGGCGACCGAGTCCAGGACTGGGTCGACGTGGAGAAAATGGGCTTTTTGTCCACGACAAGAGGAGTGTTTGGCCAGACGCATGACGAGGCAAATGTTTTCCTTTCACTCAGAAGACGGCTCCTGCACACAGAGGAGACACAGCGTTCCTCTGCTGAGTGAGGGGAGGAACTCGTGGTGCCTTCACACTGAAGACGACGGCAGAGACGCCGGGCCGACCCGGGCTCTGCTCTGAGCCTAATGGAGGGTTTGGGGGCTACAAAGCACAAACAGGAAGGAGTCATTTTTACACATGGAGCACTTGTTTATGCTGAGAGAGGAGGAGGAAGACGAGCCGGAGCTTCCAACACCATCATTTACTGGTTGCACAAGAAGAGTTTAAATCTTTAAGCCAGCGCTCTGATTATGCTTTTGCCCTTCAGCCTCAGTAACCACACATAAAAAGCTTCAGCGAGGCCTATCAATTAACCCGACCTCGCGTGATCTGGCTGCACAGATTTAGGATACTCAGCAGCACAGTGAACACAAGTGAGCTCTTGTCTTCCAGCAGGACAATCCGGGCGGTTCGTTTTTAATGTGGCTCCAGGGTGCAGCGGAGCCCAAACATTCCTGCAGCCTCAGACTTCAGAGCTGAAGGAGACCAGAGGAGGAAGACGGGGAACAGAGGCCTGTGGACTCACTTCTACTCTGTTTAGATTTAACAACCTGGAGGAGCAGGTGATTCATCGCAGCGTGAGTCTGCTCCATAGCTGAAGGTGTTTATGGGACAGTTGTACCTTAAGCCAATAAAGTCTTTTATGTTCTTCCTGAGAACTCTGGGTACGGTTTAACTAAGTCCTGGACTCAAAGCTGTTGTTCAGACCATTGTATTGTCTCACCTGCATTGCTGCCCTGCAGTGTGGTCCAGTGCTACACGGAGGCATCTAAAGAAAGTCCACATGGCTCAGAGCAGAGCTGCTGGAGTTGTGCTCCTCTGTTCTCATTAAACTAATGTGCAGGAGATGCACAAGAAGCAGTGGAGGCTGAGCTACAAGCCAGTCTTCTGATGTTCATGCATAAAGTTTTGGCAAAGAGAGAGCCCAGATTTTTAACCCAAACACTTCTATTCAGTGGGTTTTGTCACAAGTGACCTCCAGTACTTTGGTCGTCCCCCAAAACCACCTTCATGAAAAGAACTGCTGTTTCCAGAGGAGCAGAAGCTTGGAGCTCACTGTCTCTACAGATCAGAGACACTAAAACATCGGCTCTTCTAAAAGGAAAGTAAGAATACGTGAGAACTCTTCCTCTCCTCTAATGTCATCCATCTACTGCTGTGAACCGGGTCGCATCACAAACCAGATGTTTGCTATTTATTATGCATTTCAATGTTTTGTAAATAGTCATTTTTATTTTCACCCTGAGACCCCAGACTGACTTTAGATTCCTGTGTGTGTGTTGGTTCTTCAGTACCACCAGCAGAATCACACGTTCCAGCTGAAGGAGACAACGGCAGCGTTACAGGGTGGCACCTCACAGAAAGGGAGAAACCACGAGGACACGCTGCGCCTCGAGGCAGAAAGCTGCATTGAGCTTCAACAGGAAGGTCTCAAATGCCACCACAACCAGGAACCCGACTCTCCTGCAGCACCAGGACCATTCAGAGCAGAAACATTAAGTCAAATCAACAGAGTGTTTGACTGCAAGGGCTCCAGAAGTTGTTTAACACGTGCTCCTGTGACGACCAGGTGGAGTTTAAACGGTACATCTACACACATGCAGGACGTTTCCCTCCACGTGAAGTTTAAATGTGTGCAGCGAGCGATCAGCCTGAGAAAACCAGCTGAGAGACATGTGAACCACATGCTCTCAGCCTCCGTTTTATTTGTTTTCATGCACATTTGTTCCTCATTTTCAGCTGGGATGCGTGCAGAGCTGAAGGTTTCTGCTCCCTCATCCCACAGGGAGGACGAGCAGAGACCAGGACCAGGCCACGTCGGGTTAAATCTATGGAAACACAAGAATCTGGAGTGACGGAGAGAAAATATTGGACACAGAAAGTATGCTCATCAGCGAGGAAAACAAAAATCCCTCAGCGTCTGGAGCGTTCCCTGTAATCTGGAACAGTACAAAATGTCCAGAAGACAAACTATAGCACAGACGAATATGATCCAGCTCTGCTGTCACATAATACTCATAAGCAGCTTGGATTTGACAAAACCTTTCCAGCTTCCTCCTTCCCCAGGCCAGGCTCTGTCATGTGCAGATTAACACACAGCAACCCAACCGACATATTCAACGTTTAACAGCAGAATCACTGCATAGCACACGGCACACAGTCTCCACAGAAAGTAACATCACAATAAAAAACTTTTCTATCTTTCTGACTGACATCAACGTTTCCATCCAAAGTAATGATCCTCAACAGAATTTAATTCCCTTTTCACCGCCAAGATCAGAGTCCGGGTATACAAACATGGATGCTGTGGCCTCTTGTCCATCCATCAACCAGGTATAAAGCTGATTGACAGCCTTTAAATCCACAGTAACTCTAGCCTGTGCTGAAAGCGGATTGTGGAGTTGCTCTGAAGGGGGTCCTGGCCTCTTGGCATTGTGTGTGGATGGACAGTACACCCCCTCCCCCAGTCGCAGCATTCAAACGGTACATGATCTACTTATGGCTGGTGGAGCTGTGCTGACCCGTTTGCCCTCCTGCAGGTCGGCTCGGTTTCTCAGGTCCTGTGTCCGGGTGTCACATGAGAACACAGTCGGTGCTGCGCACCCGTTAAGTACTGACAGAACTTCTGCAAACATATTTTTGACTCTTTGATGCACACAAATGTTTTTTAGCTTCCTGGTGAATCACATGTGAGACGCTGTTAAACGCAACCTGCATCACCCACCAGGCAACAGCAGCAGCCTGCATCACCCACCAGGCAGCAGCAGCAGCCTGCATCCCCCACCGGGCAGCAGCAGCAGCCTGCATCACCCACCAGGCAACAGCAGCCTGCATCACCCACCAGGCAGCAGCAGCAGCCTGCATCACCCACCAAGCAGCAGCAGCAGCCTGCATTACCCACCAGGCAGCAGCCTGCATCCCCCACCAGGCAGCAGCAGCCTGCATCACCCACCAGGTAGCAGCCTGCATCGCCCACCAGGCAGCAGCAGCCTGCATCACCCGCCAGGCAGCAGCAGCCTGCATCACCCACCAGGCAGCAGCCTGCATCACCCACCAGGTAGCAGCCTGCATCGCCCACCAGGCAGCAGCAGCCTGCATCACCCGCCAAGCAGCAGCAGCCTGCATCACCCGCCA